AATAATGAAGGAAGAATTTTTTAAACAATTTTCTGGAATTCCTGGGGGTATGTAGATAATATACCTTCATTTTGTCGCACTAATTGTGGGACACCCTGTATATTATACAGTATATTGTGTAGCACTGCACGTAATTATAACGGCATGTTACCGTATCCACTATCTCCCAGCAGCAAAGCGTTTCTGGTTCGCTTCATGATTTCTCTCACTGATGAATGTTTCCATATATGCGTGAATCATAAACAAAACCAGGCCATCTTGCATCACTATTTAATTAATACCTAATTGTGGACGCAAATACCTTGCACATTGATGCTAGGATGTGTTTTCGATTTACATATTTATTCCAAAATAAACGTGGTTTTTCAATTCCAACGTGTTTACAGTCCACACTCTAAAAAGAAGTGTGTAGGATTTTGTGTTATTTTTAAAAATGTTTAAACATCGTATACGTTTCATATATGTTTTATATACGTTTCATACATATATACATGTTATTTTGAAGTCTTCTAATGGATACACGTTTTTACGTGTTATCAAAAAAAGTTGTGATGGTACACATTTTGACCTATAGCTAGTATTTTATATGTGTATAGTATTTTTCAAAATATGTTTTACGTGTTTTCAAACACGTAAAAGTTGTGATCGTACACATTTTGACCTTTAAGTAGCTCGTATTTTCCCTAATATTGAGGGATTTTTTTTGTTTGGATAAATACGCAATTTTAAAAGTTATTTCTTTATTTTATCATCAATATTTATTACAAACTAAAATTACAGTTTTACAAATCGTCGTTAATTTCACAATGTGTCGTATCTCAATTTGTCGTTCATTTTACATTTAATTTCTCAAAAAAATCCTATTTTTAGATGGATCAAAAACTGTGACCGAAGATATGACTTTTGAAAAAAAACGTAGGGATGAGGAATTGCATAGAAAAATCTGCTGAGAGCATAAATAAAGTAGTGATTAATACCCTCAACTAAAACAACCTTCACTAATATTTAAAAAATATATGGGTGATTCTACATAGACAACTTGATGTCATCAGTCAATAGAGTAGGTATTTTAATATTTTTTGTAAATACTTTAGTATATTACAAAAGATCCAGGTTTTTTTAACTTGTCCACCCAATTTTAATGTATTTTTTCAAAAGCACGTTTGTATAAAAACATAATAAATATTCAAAACAGTGATTGAGTGATTTTATTTTAAAATATATTCAATTTATCTTAAATTTTTCAATTTCACTACAAACTATAAAATATTAAATAATGTATTTTTCATATTTTAGCATAGATTAGAAAAATAGCAATTTTTAAAAAATTGATTATCTTTGTACTCACTTTTAACCGTCAGTTTTGTGTCAATGTTAAAATTTAAAATTTCTGCGAAATATTGAAGTTTAAACGTCAAGTCCTCGCTTTAACTAAAGTGTTGGTAAAAATTAACTACAGAGCCCGCCCTTTGCACGACAGTCATCTTGAAAACAATGCAAGCGGCGAAGTTGTGGTGAATGCACGTATAGTTCCAGTCAAAATTTTAGTGGGGAGTAGTTATTTTCTTACGTATATATATATATATATATATATATATATATATATATATATATATATAAGGCTTCATAAATTTATGTGATTTGTTAATAAGTAGCATCCACTAATAAAAAATATCAGTAAAATACTTAATTCCGAATTATAATCTCAAATTTGTATCCCATTCATCAGTACCGTGTCGTCAGTTCCATGTTTGATGTTTCGGTTCTTTTTTTCGCAAACTTCAATTTAAATTCTGCTTGCGCAGAACTTGTTTATTTAATGTCATTATAAACTCATATTTGGTGTGGGTCCCATATCTAATAATTGAGATATCGGTATACCCAAAATCCACCAACCGCCACTGATGTGTGGTATTATTTGACTTTAAGATATTTAATGTATAATATGCTCAAAGTTGCAATAAATCTTATATTTTCCAATAAATTATGTATTTAATTAGTACCTACCCTGATATACTCGTCATTGACGAGTCATCAATTCCCTTGCATTAAAATTTAGAAAACACATATATTTCAGAAACTGTTTGAAAAAGTGACTGGCCCGGTCTGGAAAAGTATATTTATTATATTATCCATGTTTTCATAACAAAATATTGTTTAATTTTCTCCGAAAACTATATAAACAAAATGAGGTCAAAAGTTGCTCAACTTTTGTAGAATCACCCATATAATTTTGTTTTAAAACATACAAAATTTCTCGATTATTTATCATGTTTCATATAAAATTATTAATAAAAAATGAAAATGTAAACCTGTCTTAAATAAAAAATAATACAGGTTACACGTGTACAAATTACACCTGTAATACGTGAAAAAATTCCCTAATAAAACGTGCTTTCTTAAAATTAAATAGTCAAAATTCTACTATTTAAATTAGTATCAGCATTGTTTCCTATAAAATAGTCGTTTTAAATAGTTATTTTTTGCTACTTATGTAGTTAAAGTTTGAATAATCTAAGACCATCTTTGACTGTTTCTGAGAGTAAAAGTTGTTAGAGATAAATGCATATAGGCTCCATGGTTAAATATCCCTTAAACACAAACAAAGATGCAAAAAGTTAAGATAAAAACATCAACATAAAAAAGATATTTAGCTTTAAAATATTATCAACAATATTTATAAACAAATAAAACTAATTTTTATAAAAATGAAAGTAGAGCATCGGTTTAACAACCGCTTGACAAGACCCTGCCTGTGTCAATACTTTTTTTAATTTGAATCTACTAATTTGACTATTTCATTTAGTAGAATTTGACTAGGTATTCAGTAGAATTTGACTAGGTATTAGTGACTGCTTTTTCGCCATGACAATTAGTCAAATATGACTTATAATTAGTTATTTTTGACTAATTCATTTTAGAAGAGTTTAAAAATTACACGTGGTAAGTGTCTTAAAGCCTTAATAACATAATCAAATAACACACTAAAAAATGTGTGAGATGTTACTAAAAAAAAACGTGTTAAGTTTGTTTAAATAACACATTTCTTTTTAGAGTGTACAACCAGATACTATCTTTGTGTACAACTCCTATTGCAGTTAAAAAATTAAATTTTGTTGACCATTTTTCCTTTGCCTGCCTGATGCTGTTTTCTGTAGACAGAAACTTGGTCCAATGGCTTGTCTGAAAAATGCTATTGAGGGTATCCCTGACTACTCTTGAGACGGTAATGAGACAACTTAGATTGTGACAATTGAGAAAATTGAGGAGTTCCATACTGAAACTTTGCGATGAACTACTCCTGCTGTAGATGACTAGTAATAAATTGCTCTAGAAGCACAAGTCTTTATAACTGAGAGGTACTCCATTTTTTGTCTTGTCTTTTTCTTAAGACATTGCTTCGACTACCGGTGCTATTATTTTTGCAACGTCAGGAGATAAAAATGTTGAGACAGTCGGGAAGCATCAGATTATTTAACCTGCACTCCAATTTCAATGGCACCATTTAACCATTTAACACAGAAACATAACAAGAAAAGTTCTTTGTGTTGGATCAAACCTACAAATATATGTTGAAATGTGTTTTTTTTACCTGAGGCATGTAAAACGGGATGGCCTGATTCTCTTCCAACATGATTTTTCCCAGGGCAGAATACGAATGGGTTTATTTCCGGTTTTCTTCTTGTCGGTTTTATTTTTTACTCCAGTAACATAATATTTATATTATTTACTTATATTGCATAATATTGGGTTTTTCTGTATATAATGATAAACATTATAAATTTACTGCCTTACATCGGGAATAATAAATTCATTATTCACGTTGTGATTGGCCGATTTTAATATTAAATGTGATTTAAACCAATCGGGTTTTAAATTTGGAAAAGGCGACTATATTAATATTAAAAATTGGTAAACAGTGAGGTTACCTATTTGACAGATGTCAGATTTTATTTATTTATTTTTGAAAATCATTTAATAATCTACTAGATAAAGTTAGATTATTACTGTTATGCTATTACACTCGAGATTATGCGCATTATCTCTCATATAATAATATACTATTGTTATAAATTGTTTTCCCATGTCCTTTTTTTCATAGCGGGAACTTGCGATTTTTCCAGGACTTCGAGATACATTCTTAACTTATTCGCAAAAAATTTACATTCGTCAGATTTTCTTGATCACTATCCAACAGATCACTATGCGATGTCATCACAAGATTTGCAAATCAACAAACTCACAAAACACAAAACAAAACTAAATTAAAATATTACTAAATCAAAAATAAAACGCCCAGGGGTCGCTACTTGTCCTTTCCACACGCGTCTATACATTTTCCTTATTTTTGTGCAGGCATTTACTCGGGAGGAAAAAGTAAATATTATAAATACAAAATGAATACAAACCTTTTCCTTTTAGCTTTTACTTCAAAGCACTACTTTTTTTCTTTTTAGAAAATCCTTTATTTTTATAAATACTAATAAATATTTCTTCTTAAATTCCAATTTACCGTGTAATTGTATTGTTATTTGTTCAATATAAAATTTGTTTTAATATTTTTTTTATTTTTGTAATGAATTTGATTTGAACTGCCTTTTGTTTTTAAATTACTTTTGTATGTAAAATACTGTTTTTTGTAATCACTGGGTGATTCTATATAAGTTTGGTCGTGTGTACATGGGTATTAACAATATTTTTTGTTTTTTAGCTCTATCCATTCCTTGATCGCAATAATTGCTCTCTTCGGGTAATACGATATACCGTATATATGTCATATACGTATTAGTTTATCGAGAGTTGAGAAAGTTATAAGATTCAGAAATTAAACCTTATAATATAGGTAAGTTTTGAGAAAGTGCTTCACCTAGATTGTGTTTAATACCTTATACCAAAGTATATCAGATTACAAAACCAAATTAAGTTTAGTTTATCAAAGTTGTAGGTACGTTAAAAAGCTTATTATATGTATTAAATTTTATATTTACAATTTTGTTTACCTGAATGAGTTAAAATCCTTGTTCTGGTTTTATTATTAACTGCACCAATTTTCTTCAAGTTTTCCGGAATATCCGCTTCTGTTTCTGAACTTTTTGAATGAGGCCTACCATTAACAATATTAATCTGAAAGCAATTTAACGCTAAATATTAAATAAGCATACAATTTATCAAAATTAAAAGGGTGGTATTGGTATTTACATAGTGATTAATTAATAAATTAATGGATTGATTGATATTGATATAATGGTATTGGTATTGGTATTGATGGTAATATTATTGCTATTAATGTTGATGTTGATATTGGCATTATAGATATTGATATTAGTATTAATATTGATTGATTGGTTGGTTGATATTGATATTGGCGTTAATATTGATTAACTGATTGATTGGTTGATATTGGTATTGATTATTTATATTATTTGGTATTGGTATTGGTATTGACTAATTGATATTTATAATGAATTTATATAGATACGAATTTAACAGGAAACCAGGCAACAATTGATCATTGCAGAGGGCAGCGTGCGTGTGTGAAGGGAAATCAAGTGGGTGCGTCGCAAGATTATATTATTGTATTATATATATTATATAATATACACATAAGCTCACACAAGCAAAGTTTGGAGGATGGCGAAAGTAAATGGGCAAAGCGCTCACGTGAAAATGAAGTGGCAGGCCATCTATTGAGGCATGCATTGCACGCCTGACATTGGGGCCGTGTTTTAAATTTTGATGCGATACACCACAGGGCCGGCTTTATCTATTTTGTATATTAATATTTATATTTTTAATTAATTTGAAAAAAAAAGTAAGAAGGCAAAGATATAAATAAATGAAAACGGTATAAACACTAATTTAGCAATAAAATAAATAAAGAATATACAAGGTTGGTAGCCGGAGTAAGCAAAAAACTAACATACCCACCCCCATTCACGAATACCAATTGAATGGGGATACTACTAAGGCCTTGGTTGCGGAGGATTCCGGATTTTACTTAGTTTTGGGTCAGTTCAATGTCCTCCAAAAACCCTTCCTAAACTGGACGTATGGCCCGACCCGGCTGACAAAAATTCCTGGAGCGGCCTTAACCTTTGACACTGTCATACACAACCTCCTAGGGGGGAACTACCAGCCGGCGTAAAAACTTCGGATCCAACAAACACAGGTAATGCTGTGATTTGGCGGGATACGCAGGAGAACGGAAAGGGGGTAAAATAACCTCGGGAGATTAGTGGATGACAATATATCTGGGGCCTGCCATACGTTCCCATACTCATACTCATACTCATACTCATATTATTTAATTCGAATTTTGGTCTATGACGTTTATCATTATGAAACTCAGTGTATCATCTCGGTATTAAGGTATTTATTTTAACTCTTTGCATTTGAACTGAGGCTAAAGCTTTTAACAATTATATTATTATTATCATATTGGTATTACTTGGGTAAGGTTTATAAAATGCTATTATTATTATTATTATTGCTAATATTATTATTATCACATAATTTGATATTACCATTAGGTAATATCATGGTAAGGTAATAGTACCGATTAACATTTTGATAGATTCGGATTAGAGACTTAGGGTTAAACCTGCTTACCTAAGCGCTTTAATTTGAATACTTGATAATGACTTTTTGGGTGCTATATTTTGTTCTTATAATATTTATTTTATACAGCGCGACACTTTCATGTGGTTTGAGTTTTAGGCTATGTTTATGTGTTTTTGTAATGACGATCTCCTATTTACCATTTATTGTATTTATTTATATTTTACACCATTTTATTTTATTGCATATTGTTGAATTTATTTGTGTCTGTATTTGTATTTGTGTTTTGTTGGAAAAGCGTTTTTTACTTGAACATCTAAGCATGGGTAACATAAAGGCATTAGTTGAAAGGTGGTGTCGTTATGTTACTTACCTTTATCTACTCCAGTGAGATAAGGACTTCTTATCCCACTCATTTTGAGTGAGATAAGAAGTTCATTAACGCACGCGTTTTTCTCTGTTTTTAACCAATCAAATAAAAAAGTCAAAATGTCAAAATGTCAAAATAACCCTAAATTAAGTCTTAGACAAAAATAATTACCGTTTATTTTTTCATTTAGAGGCGTAGATAAAAATTTGTACAATATACATGTGATAACGCTTTATTAACGTACTTTAATAAAGCTCTTATCCGACTTATATCGTAAATAACTATTAATTCTGTGTGATGGCCGTGTTTGTATGCTTTTACAATACTATTGCCTTGTGCTGGACATTGATTTTGTGAGAAGATTTTAAACACGTAAGTGGTATAAATGCACTAAGTGAGAGCAGTGTGGTTATTAGCTACGGGTAATATTTGCATTATTTCAATAATTCCCCGCGTTCCTATCCTATGTAGCATTCGAATTCCCTCTATATGAAAGTTGTAGTTGCTGTTCGTTTATTATTATTATTATTTTATAAAATCTTATCATCGTACAATAGTTCGAAGCAGTGGCGGTTGGTGGATTTTGGGTATACCAATATTTCAGTTATTAGACATGGGACCCACACCAAATTTATAATAGTTTATAATGACATTAAATAGACAAGTTCGGCGCAAACAGAATTTAAATTGAAGTTTGCGAAAAAAAATTAGTTTTTCCTGTCGCCTCACCCGCCTCCAGGCCCACCTATTTAAGATAATTTAAATTGGTGGTGCAATTTATTATCTACTATAATTTATCGACAAATTTAAAATTTTATTTAAAAAATCCAAATATTACAGGTTTTATAAGATTTTAAATATTTTTTTATTTTAATAACCCCAAATTTTGACATTGTTATTGTCCAAACGCAGCGCCAGCTTATTTGAAATTCGGCGAGAAATTTTGCATGCATGCTGGAGTGCGAGTATCGGTTGAAAATAGCCACTCTACGTGTGCGACACACTCCCACTCTAAAGCTAGCTTCAGAGTTGATTGAAAATGTAGCTTTAAGCTACCAAGATTGTGTTAGTTGTTGTAATGTCAGGGCTGACAACTTCCTTATGGCGGAAAATGAATGTAGAGATTTACGCTTTGGAATCTTGCCTTCTAATCATTGATGAGTTTATTAAAATATTCAATTACTTACTAATAAACTCCGAAAAAAAACCTATTATTATGGGTAATTTTAATTTTGACTTTAATAAAATAGATGCTCGGCAATCGAAACTTTTGGATTTATTAAAAACTTTTGATTTAAATTAAACTACCTATACTTGAAAACAGTAGAATTAATTCGTGTATTGACAATATTTTTAAGAATGTGTTACCTGTAGGTAAATTTTCAACTCTTGAAATATCATAGCTAAACGCTCGGACACGTAAACATAATTTTTGATCGTAGGTTCCAAATCTGTGCTCGGTTTAGCTATAACAGGTCTAAAAAAGTTTTCCTGTCGGAAATCCGATCCGGGGACACATTTTATACTGGTATATTATAATTTTTAAAATAATATATTTCACCTCTTGTGTCAACATTCTTATGCTATTTATTTTAATTAATATAATATCCTCAATTATACGCAATAACAAAAATAGCAAAAAAACATTTTGAATTTTCTAAATTATCTATGAAAAACTCAGGGGTACGTGTTTCTTTTGATCAATTAACTTAAGATTTTGCAGATTTGTTTTTTTTTTATTTGGAACTGATGTGTGGGTCCAGCCAAATTGATTTTGTTTTAATGTATACAGGGTGTTTAAATTTATACAGGGTGTTTCCAATATCTTTGAATTTTGACCTGATACAGCTAAACCAAGCATGGATTTGTAATCCACGACCAAAAATTAAGTTTACGTGTCCGAGCGTTTAGCTGTAATATTTTCACCTCCCTACAGTGATATGATAGCTTTGTGTACGATCCTTGTTTATATGATCAAGCTTCAATAACCTTTAATTTCTTTTTGACATTTGTTGATATTACAATCATTCCAATATCAATGAAAACAATAATTCCTATTACATCACAAGGGCTAAATTAACTTTTTAATTATGTGCTGGACCAGATTTGGTGCGTAGTTTTTAAATATACCAAATAAATTTGCGTTTCGTACGGGTGAGCTTAAGGTGCAATTATTCACATTCCAATAATTGGTTTAATGAATCAGGGGCAATTATTCAAATTTAAATAATTGGTTTAAAGAATCATTAAGCAGAAACGAGAAATGTTAAACTTTTTAAAGGGCATATTTAAACAAACTGGACGCTTATGCATTAACAGAGTTTAAACGAATAAAGAACCAATATAAATCAGCAAAACAATACTCAAAGGCAACTTGGAAAATTGTAAATGAAACTAGAGGAAAAAAATATACTGGTGTAAATTCAACTGCGATAAATGCAAAATGAATTTAATTTATTATTTTTTAAGTATTGCAAATAATATTGTCAATAATTTACTTAGCCATACTAAACTAAATAGTTGGAAATAGTATTCAAAGAGATCTTCCCAATTTTAGTTTTTGTTCGGTTACTTTTAATATGCTAAGAGATATTTTTAACTAAAAGACTCCAAATTCCTGGATGTTTATAAGTTTTAAAAACTATTGTTCATTTTATAATTTATCCCTTAACTAAATTAATTAACCAATCAATACTAATGGGGAAAAAACCTTGAATTAATATTTTAAAAGTTTTGCCCTTCCATAAAAAGGCAATATAATTATAAATTATTTAAATGACCTTAATAATTATAGGCCAATTTCCATTACTCCAATTGTTAGGACCAGGGCCGGATTAAGAGTTTTGAGGCCCTGGGGCCGAATTTGGTGGGGGCCCTCAATATTTCTAAATTTTTTGACACTTGGGAAATTAAAGCTCATGGTAATTTTTTAAGCAAGAGGAACTTTACTTGATTTTCTATTATCCTTGAATCATTTATTATTAAACCATATAAATTTTAATAAAATCGGCCAAAGCGTTTTTTTAAACGAAACACCCTGTATGTCGATAATGAAGCATTTTCGGACACGTGTTTATAGGAACTTTTTTTCATATTTTGATGAGAGGAATTTCCCCTGAACTTTTGTCACCACAAGTCTGAATCACCCTGTATATTTTGAATAATACGAACATAACCGTATATAAATTTTACCCAA